AAATTGTAGTTAAATGCCCAGGATTGATTATATACCTTAACACGTCTCCTCGCGTGTAGGATGGATATATATTTTTACTTGAGCCTTACATGTGAAAATATATTTTTGAAATTAGGCAGTATAGTAAAATTATAATAGGAGTATCATGTAAAGACTCTAATTTAACCACAAATTCAAGTTTGTGGTCAAAACGTGGAAGTCTTGTACTCTAACATTTGAGGTCAAACACTTTAATTTAATGAAGAGAAAAAATATAGACACAATTACAAATTATATACTCCCAACAAATAGTTTTCATTCTAAAAAATGTGGCTTTTATTTGTAAACGTTCCCAACAAAATGGTAAATAAAACTAGGAACTGTAAGCAGGAGTATTCATGATGATGATCATCACCACTCAAACTATTCATTATTCAATACAACCCTGCACCTTTATGACTGTTGGGCGCTTAACACGTGAACTTTCAGCATTAAATGTTTTTTTTGTTGTCTTTCAATGTTTTTCTAGTTTTATATTTTCAACATTTAAACTATAATTAAATAAGATTTCTTTGACATATTAATTAGATAAGATAATAATAGTTTAAATAAATTTTATATAATATTGCATCAACTTTTTTAAATTTGGACTCAAACTTTATTAATTTTGACATCGAAAAATCAAATTTGAACGAATATTCAGGGACAAATGTAGTGTGGATAATGTCTATGTGCACCTTTGGTAGGTTGTATGCATTTATGTTGTTGTAAACCAAACACTCTCCTGCCTGCAGTGCATGCTTTTTTTTGCTGTTATATGTAAATGTCTCTCTTATCATAACTTCTTACTTTCCTTCCTTTGTGTCTTTGTCTTCCCATTTTCAATTTATTGTCGTACTCTTTGTCCCATTGCCCGACTAATATTCGGGTTCGATTACTGGCAAAACGATAATCGGATAAATTATAATTTAATTTATGTTTTTTCTCATATTTGCCTGACCAGTTTTATAAGACAAGATCAAAGATGTGCAATCCCACGAAGGTTTCCAAAATTTTGAGGCCTAAAAGAAGTCAAAGTTTATTATCGATTAGCTTTGCCAAATATCATATTTTTATAAGTAAATGATAAAGGATTCCCACAAAATATTGATTTAATGTTCCATATTTACTACTACCTCCGTCCCATTGTCTTTGTCCACTTTTGACTTTTGGAATTGTTCATCTAAGCACTTTGACTCATCAAATTCTCTTAATGTGTAAGCCTATAAATAGTCATGTGTGATCTTGTTTGATTCGTCTTAACATATAGATTATTAATATATAATTTGTATAATTTTTTAATATACAAATTACAAGATAAAATGGATTAAAGAAGTGCATTGGATGGTGTGCCAAAAGGTAAGTGGACAAAGACAGTGGGACGGAAGGAGTATACTATTGTGTCTTAATTCTGAATATTAAAATACTCCGTATTAATGTTTAATATTAATATAACAGCCAATTAATATAAGCGCGTTATTAAAAAGATCTCCTTAAACCTTTAGGTAGTGTTTGGCAACTAGTATTTCATTTCAATTCATGCATTTCAATTCCAAAATTTGAAATCCTGAATTTCAAATGACAAGGAGAGATGCACGGATTTCAAATTAAGCTTTGTTTTGAATGTAAGGAATTTGATTCAAATCCAAATTCCAAATGCTTAAGTTTCCCAAACATGGAATTTAAGCCAAATCCATGTTTCCAAACATACCATTAAAGATTTTGGACGGACCAGAAATGGCATGTCATTCCACCTTTAAAATCATATTACCATTTCTTCTAAAAATATGATGATTTTTGAGTTCTTATGGTTAAAACACACCTAAAAACAGTTGGGCCTTTAGTTTCGAGGTATAGCATGGGCTGATTGGCTAATCATCACTAATCTTTCTAGAGGCCCATAGAGAGAGAATTTCAATTTTTCTTTACAAAAAATGTGACTCTTTTTTTGGACGAAAGTGTATCTACTTACTTCCCTCCCTATTTATAAGAGACAATTAAATATAATTTCAGTTAAATATCATAAATAATATGAAACAGATATATTAGAATGAGAGGAGTTTAATATATTTAATTATTCGTTTTATTCCTAAAAAATGTCAAATTCATTCTTTTTTATATCATGTACTCCCTCCGTTCCACAAAACCCTTCCGGTTTTGACTTTGGGGAAAAATAAGGAAAGTGTAATTTTGGTTGACTTTCCAATTTTGCCCCTGATGTGATGAGAAAAAGTAAGATGTGATAGTTTGGTTATTAGTGATAAAGTATGATGTGATAGGTAGGGTATGAAAAAGTAGGAGTAAAAGTGGTTTTTTAATAGAAAGTGGAAGTGTTTTGTGGAAAGCAAAAAAAACGAAAGAAGAAGGGTTTAGTGGAACGGAGAGAGTAATATGTATTCTCTACCGTATTCTTTCGTTCCTTTCTAACATTTATTTTAGATTCTCGGTGGTGTACTTTCTAAATTTACCGCTGAATTATTTGGAAATTGTACGGTTTACTTCTGAACATTAAAAAGTATACCAAATACTCTAAAATTCTTCAAAAATTATACGGTTTACCCCTGAATATTAAAAAGTGTACCAAATACCCCAGAACTCTTCGAACCGACACAATTTACCCCTTAACATTTAAATAAAAACGTTAATTTTGGGGAAGGGTACTTTGGAGAAGTCACAAGGGCAAGACGAATCATACTCCTAATTCCCATGCGTGGGTACAACGCACTCCCTATCTAGTATTTTTGGACTAACAATGCAATGTTTTAAATGGTTGAGGGGTATTTAGTGTACTTTTTAATGTTCATGGGTAAATCATGTAATTTTCGAAGACAATGAGTGTAAATGGTACATTTTATAATGTTCAGATATAAACCATGCAATTTCCAAAGAGTTCGGGAGTAAACAGTACACTTTTCTCAAATTATTTATACTCCCTCCATCCCTTGAAAATTTACTCCTATGAATAACGTGTGAAATTTTATTCCTCTTAAATAATTTTATTTGCAAAGTGGTATAGAAATTAAAAATATAACATACATATTTTTCTACAAAGCAAATACAGACATGACTTTCTGAGTTCTTATCAAATATTCAATGAAAAAAGTATATATAAACAAAAATTATCGAAAAGCAAAAATAATAACTACGCATGTTGTAATGTCTTGAATCTGACCCGTTACAGCAGAGAGTACTATATATATGTTTGCTACCACAAACCATATGGGTCCCCCTCTTCCTGTGGATGTAGCCAACACAACGTTGGTGAACTACGTTAATTCTGCTGTTGTGTTTTTCGCGTTCTTTTATTTATTATTCTCGAATTCCGCGTAACAAGGCCAATTATTTTGAGATGCGAGTAGATAAATTATAGGGAGTAGGATAAAGTAAATTGTATGGTGGACATAAGATCCAACATGGACCTACACACGAGTAAAATAAGTATTTTTTTACTAACTAAATAAACATTTATTTAAAAAAACATATGTGAAAAGATCCATAAAATTGATATACACTCACGATACACCAAAAAATCACTCCTAGAATAAATGATAGTGAAATATTTGTATTGGAAATTGTTAATTCTTTTTTTTAGTACTATGTAGTTTTTCTAATACTGCATCCCTTTTAATCCTTTTGTTTACTAACACGTGGTCAAACTACATGAAGTATTTTTTTTCTTTGTAAATTTTCATTCTTTAAAATTCTTCTTAATACAAATGTGATCGATTTAAATACATAAACATGCAAGGTAAGGAAATTATTGGAAAAAAAAGGAACTTAAATATAATTTAAATATATGATAGATTAATAGAAGGAGATTAAGAAGAGGTAAACGAATACTCCCTCCGTCCCGTGAAACATGGGACATTTGCTTTTTAGGAAGGATTTAAGGGAGTGTATTTTGGTGTTGAATTTCCAAAAATGTCTTTTGATGTGATGTGTAAAAGTATGATTTGATGGATAGATTATTAGTAAAAAGGTATGATGTGATAGTTAGGGTATGAAAAAGTAAGGGGTAAAAGTGACTTTTTAATAGAAATTAGAAGTGTTTTGTGGGACGGATAAAAAAAGAAAGGGGAAATGTTTCACGGGACGGAGGGAGTAGATTACTCCATCATTATTATGGGACATCATGATTTGGTTTATTGGTACCCTTCGGGAAATTGGTGGAACTTTTAATAACATGCAAGATAAGAATGAGTTAATTACATCATTAAGATTTTTGGAGCAATCCATATAAAAACAAAAAATAAATAAATTGTTTGTCAAATGAAAGTTTTATAGTTATCTCCGCATAGTTATCCAAAAAATAAGATGAAACAGAACAAATTTATGGACACCAAACTATGGTTACACAACACAACCAATCCCTCGTTTTCAGGTAAGTTGTCACCAATTTATTAATCGTGTGGTTAATTACCACAATAATCATACTGTCTTCTCCTATGCTAACCTTCACTCATTCAATGCTAATTACTCCCACGCGGCACCCTGGCCTCCGTTAATAAGTAATTTTTGCGATGCTCTGTTTTAAAATTAGTACTAATTCTTACTTCTATAAGTTTCTCGCTAACCCCACAAGTTTAGTTGATTTTTCAAAAAATTTGACCAAGTTAACTAAGTTTTAGGATGCAATTGAGAAGCGTGAAGGGTCAAATAGGTCGGCATAGGGGCCGGGTGGGTTTAGCATTGGAGCTAGAAGTTATGAAACATCAATTTTTCAAACAAACCACTGGAAGTGGCTTAATCAAATATCGCTATCGGGCTAATTAAGGTCATTGTATGACATTTGACCCCAATGTCAAAACAAGCACACATTTCGCTTTGACCTGAGGTCTACTCTTAATTTTTTTTATCTATGTTATCGTGTTTTTGACTGGTGATCCACTATCACACTATCACCGCACCACAGAATCCATTATTCATACTGATCTATTAACACACTACGCTGATAAATTAAACTCATGTTTAGGGGACTAAAACAAGGTCAATCTTAATTATTTTTTGATATGTTCACTTTTCTCCTATATATCTAGAGATATTTGTTCAATAATAATACAAAAAAAAAGAGAGATGTTTTAAGACTTTTTTGCATGTACATACCCCACCCCACAAACGGAAGACGACTAAACAGACACTAACATATAACGCCCGCCGACGGCGGCGGGCGAGGACGGCCGGTCACCCGCGATCACGACGCCGCCGCATGCGGTTGAGGGGGAAACGGTTTCTGGGGGTTGTGATGGATANAAGGGGTGGGAGGAGGCGGCGTGGAGTGCCCGGAGTTCATGAAGCTCCTTCTGCAGCCTTGTGTTGTCCTCCTTCAGTCTCTCGCAGCACCTCTTTAAATGCTCGCAGTCTACCTCCGTCTGCTTCAGCTTAGTCCTGCAACATATATGCATCTCAATGTATAAAGCTGGAGGGATTCATCTCACATTAAACCTCAATGTCATACTTTGACCCGGCTCTAGTTCGAGCACCTACAGTGTTCCGTTCGAAAAATTTACGGCTTGTATCCCGGTAATCATCCCATCCCAGTCTGACTCTGAACCCACCCACACACCACCTTCAGTTGCACAACACAAAATTTAATTGGCTTTAGAGTTAATTTTGACTCCAAAGTCAACTAAATTTTGTATGGTGCAATTGACAAGTGGTAGGGAGTCGGTTCGGGGTTGGTAGGTGGAGTTAGGAGGGATAAGTACCGTCATTTTTTCTAATGGAGCCTCGTAGGTAACCCGGTCATCCCGTGATATTGATCCTCCATGCATAGGAAACAAGCCGCTTTATTAATCATTTACTCTATTTTCTTCAATATTATTATCTCACCTTTTATTTCTATTTTATACTCCTTTCGTCCCTAAGAGTTAGAGTGTTTTTTATTTTTTTTCTTCTTTTTCCCAAAATTGATTTCTATTCTATATTGAAAAATTTATTTTTATTCTTACTCATTTTTATCCCACTTCATCAAATCATATGCATTCACTAATATTTTTCAATTACATCGCACTTTTATCTATCACATCAAAAATAATTTGAAAAGATCAATACAAAAATATTTTTTCTTTAAATTGTACGGAGTATAAAATTCAAATAAGAAAGGAGATTTAGAAATAGAGGGAGTAGAATTTTTATGCAATGTAGAAATTGAAAATATTTTTTTTAAAATTTTACCGGAAATTATTAACTAAAAGTTCTTTAATAGAACAAATTTACCGGAAATTATTATTTTTTACACAAATTGTTTTAAAATTAGTTAAAATTAACTAATTAACTAAAAGTTCTTTAATAGAACGAATTTACCGGAAATTATTATTTTTTACACAAATTGTTTTAAATTTGTGTAAAACTGTAAAACTAAGTAAAAATTAACTCAAAAGTTACTCGAGCGGTCTTTTAAAGAGTTTTACATTTTCCTTATCGGAATATTTAAAAATGATTTTTAAATTTCTCCTTTTTTTACTTTTAGAAAACAAATATAGAATATAATTAAGGATACCTATGATTCTCTATCTACTACCCCCTTTCTAAAATATCTCTTCAATTTTAACTTTGTGTAGTTAAAATTAGTAAACTTTTGACCATTATTTAAATAAAAGTTATATTAGATATCTATTCACTTTATCTTGTAAAATATCTTCAAAATATTATTTAGTATAAATAATATACTACGGAGTATATAATTTTTCATTAATTATCGGTCAACGGTCGAATATAAGTGACTGTAAAATGTCAAAACCAAATAAGTACTCGGGAAGGAAAACAATACTAGTAAATATCAAATCACACATTTTTTAGTTTGTTTTCCCTAATTATATCTTTGTGAATTCAAACAATTAGATTCTCTTTAAAACAAATTATTCCGTTGTTTTAAGGATCATGCTCATTTAATGGACCTTAGTATATTAATTTTTGTAAAATAATTGGATCTTTAGCAAAAAAATGATCTATTTATCGGTCATTAAAAATGTGAAGAAGTTCATATTTCTATGTTAACTTAAGATCACAGAAAAACAATCTCTTGTTTAAAGAAGGACGAAGTATATTTTATGAAATAATAAATGAAAATATATACTAGGCATATAAATATATAGGAAGTAAAAGAAAAATGTGCTTTATAAAAAAAATGCAGAGGCACATTTTGGATAGGACAAAATATACCTTGCTCTTCTGTTTTGGAACCACACTTCAACTTGGCGTGGACGAAGATTCAGCAGCTTTGCTAAAGCAACCTTTTGTTTCTGCCATATTCACATTCATATTACATAAAGTTAGTTAAAAAAAATGTTCCCTAATTAATAACCAAAAAAACATTTACCTACAAAAATAATAAACTCTAAAAATGATTATTTTAAAAAAAATATTCCTTCCGTTCCAAAAAAACACCACACTTCAATATTCAAAATTTCCAGAAACTTTTATTTATATGTGTAGTTTATAAATTATTTGATAAAATAAAATACCTCTCTCATCTTTGCTTTTGTAAAATTTTTTACGTAATTTTTTAATATATAATCTTTATTTTTTCAATCTTTATTTAAAGTAAATTGGAAAAAATGGAATATTATATTTTATTTTGCATAATGTGTAAATAAATTGGAATTTAAGTAGAAGTAATTAATAAAACTCACTGGATTAAGAGTGTTTTGTTCTTTGAAACTTTGTTCGAGAAAAGCCGCCTGTTCTCTGGTCAGCCTGAGCTTTTTCCTTCCCAACCCACCGCCGTTCTCCTCCTCGTCGCTTCCCCTCAATTGCGACGAACTGCCGCCTCTCTCCATTTCCCCGTCGCCGCTGCCGCCACTACCGCCGCCGTGACATGCATCCTTCATCCCCGAAACTCCGGCTCTCAAGTCGGAAATATCCATCTTCAAAGACGACGGTGCCGCCCCCGCGTGCTCCTCTTCCGCCGGCCGTTGGTTCATGTCCAGCCACATGCCGGGCGGACCGTTTAACAAACCCGGTTCGGGGACGCCTATTTAACAAGAACTTAAGTTAAATCTTTACGTTTCACATTTTGGGAACAAATTTTGACTACAAATTTTGAGAAAAAAAAGTATTCCGTATTATGTGAAATTCATTTTATTATTTAATTTTGATACATAAACTTTTTATAATGTGTAACATTTATTTGTGTCTACTTAGTTTTATACAAAATGTCACATTTGTGGCGGCTGTGTACTTACGAGTTTCCGGGCGCCACCGGAAGCGGAGTGGGCGGCGCGGGTGAACCTGGAGGAAATCGAACGGAACCGGAGGCGGTTCTCGAGGGGGGCCACAGGCGGCTCCAAGGCCCATGCAGAAGCCCAAAGGGTCGCCGGTTCCGGCGGGGGCGGGGTTTTTCCTTTTTTCAAGAAAAGGGAAGGGTTTCATGAAGGCGGCGGGGCTGCTTCCGCCGCCGCCTCCTAAGCTCAGACCCAACTCCATGAGTGGGTGAGAAGGAAGGAGAAGGGAGCGTTTGGCTGGATAGGAATGGGGGAAATTAAAAATAGTCTGTAATAAGAAGGGGAGTGGGGGGGGGCTTAAAAAGAAGGCTTTGGGACTTTGTCCCATCCAAAGTCTTTAATACTGGGCTTGTACTGCCAGTCTAGCGTGGACTATATAGAGTGTAGACCCCTCTCTCCAAAAATTATCTTTTTATCATTTAAGTTATTTTGAAAATTAAATAAAAAAACCTATAAAATTAATCGTGAAAGAAATTTTTTATTTTATCAAATGAAATTTTGAGTTTTTTCTAAAAGGAATTTTGCATTAATGAATAGTTAGTAAAGGTGGAATGATTATCCCGGTCCGACAGCCGACGAAATAGTGAGGCATAAGTCAGAATATAATCTTAGTTTGAAGCTTTGAACTATTATGTGTTCGATGTATATAAGGAGCTATCATATTAGAAACGATTTTTCCCCTATCGCAGCAGCAAAAAAAGCTTCCCGTTTCATAAAACAGTTTTTATTTTTGGCTTTTAGGAGAAATAATGAGCGTATATTTGCGGTTGAATTTTTTCCTTGATGTGATTAGTAAAAATAAGATGTGATTGATAGATTGTAGTAAATGAAAAATATGATAAGATAGGTAGGGTAAAAAAAGTAAGAATAAAAGTGATTTTTTAATAGAAAGTTGGAGTATTTTAAAGAAACAAGAAACGAAAGATAAAGTGTTTTAAGAAAACAGAAGTAATTTATAGCATTAACATATACTCCGTATGAATTATATGTTTTACCTCACACAGATTCAAGTAAACAAGAGGACAAGAGGGAACTGAAGTCTCAAGAAGGCCACTATTGCATCAGGTCACACTCGGCCCTAACAAGCTTATTCGGTTTCGGACCACCTTCGGCCAGCTTTTCATCAGGAGACTTCTGGAAGTAAATCACGCATACTCAGCCTCAGACCGAGGTGTGAGCGGACCAGAACCATAGACATGGGAGCTACCTAATCGGTCAAATGAAGGGGCCCATGATTGGAAACCTGCCACACCTCCGTTAGAGTTGTTTTAGCCACCTTATTTGTAACCTATTTTGTATAGCCGCCCTAGGTATAATGATGTGGTTAGGCACCGCCGGTAAATAACCAAATCTTAGTGGGCCCGATCCGTTGGGCTCTAGACCAACGGTCGGGAACCCCATCTATCATTTGTATATAAATCCTTTCTTGAGAGAAAGGGGAGGACGGTTTTTTCTAGCACACTAATACTCACAATCTACTTGATTACCAACTTGTGCACTCTCGACCCAGTTCGATACTCTTTCACCTAGTCTCCTAGGCACCGGGTTCCTCAACCCAACAGTAACAAAGACACTGTGAACTCATAATTTGGTTTTAGAAAACTTGTGACTCCTTTTTTGGTATTTTCTTTGTTTTACTCTTATTTAAGAAGTTCTCCAATTAAATAAAACTAAATTTTTTTATCATATTTCCTTTTACTTCATTGTTTTGTTCAGTTGGTGGACGTTGTTCATTTCGCAAAGGCCGAGAGTGCCACAGGTAGACCGAGTTTGATTTTTGACAGCTTGATACCGTATCGTATCGGGATAAGGAAGGATTTCGAGCACCTTTGAGCTCCAAGAACAAAAGAGGTGAGAAAGAGAGAGATTAAGATATAGGAGAAAGTATTTTCTTTATTCATTGATTAATAATTTACTGAAATGGATACATTTATAGCTAGGACATATAAAGAACCTTTACCATAGAAGAAAACTAAAAAATCTAGGAATCCTAATTAGAAATGGTAACAAATATCCTAACAATAGAATACTACTTTCTAATAACGGTCTGGTTCGGTGGCCACTGGGTTTCAGTGGCCAAGGAAGCCACTGCCCCCCAACGAAGCTTCGTTTTAGTTCATAAAATTGATGATTCCTACCCCCCTAACTCCCCCGGTAAACGCTCCCCCCCCCCAAGTCCCGACCCCAAATCATCCCCCCACTTACGTCAATTGCACCCCGTAGGTATAATTGACTTTAAAGTCAAAAATTTTGACTCCAAAATCAACTAAACTTGCACCCCGCAATTGACGTGGTTGGGGGATGAGTTGGGATCGGGATCGGGTGGGGAAGTTTATCGAAAGGCTTAGAAGGGGTAGAAACTATCAATTTTACGAACAGAACACCGTAGGTGTCCCAATTGTGTGAGTGGCTTCCGTGGCCACTCTTTTTGAGTGGCTCTCGAACCTAGCCATTCTAATAATAATATAATTAATTAACCATAAATAATGATACTACCTAATATAATAATAATAATAACCAATAACCATTAATAATAGTAATAATAATAATGATAATTAATCCTGTATCACTCTCCCCGCCTCAAAAACCAACTTGTCCTCAAGTTGGAAATTCAACAAAGAACGGGAAAAAAAGTGTGTCATTCATCGTCCACCCTTCGGGGTCAAACACCTTCGTTATAGGAGCATCAAAAGAACATGCTGGACCTACAACATCTCCAACCCTAGTTAAATAATTGCATGCAACCAACTTGATGAAGAGAATGCTACGAGGTGCAATACTTCCTAATTTACAAATAACAATAACCTTAAACATCAGGCATTCCAAAGCTTTCTGTGCACCCATAAACAATCAGATTGTCCCAAAAAACTTCCTCGCGGTCTTGGTGGTGTGCATTCTCATCAACATCGTCTGTAGAAATAGGATCAGTAACAATAACAAAAGCATCTTTGGAAATACCTACCGAATGCACAACAATTTCCTCCATCGTGAGTGACTTATTGGTATCCATGACATTGGACCCACTTTTCATGTCATCTTCGACATGTGGTTCATCGCTTAAATTTTCCACGAGAGGACCAGTGTGTGCGGTTGAGCCTTCCACGATCTGAACAATCATGTCCCCAGCCATAGGGGCTAGATTTGGTGAAGAAAGTGGAGCACCGATGAGTTTCTTTATCACGCTTATCATATTTGTTTTGAACAAGTGTAACTCTATCAGGATCAAACTTGGTAAAGTTGGGGGACCACGAACTAAATCCTGAATTGAGCAAGAGACCTCTACGGGAAACACATATACCTCGAAATCATATTTTGGTTGACCTTCAATTTGACGGAATGCCTGAAGTTTCTTTATAAGTTCATCCATGGAATCTTGAACTGCACACACGCCTTCATAAAATTCAATTTGTCTCCGTAATACTTTCTCGAGTAAACCAAGAACTTTGTCCTACAGAGAATCCATTTTCAAAAGAAAAATCACCACACACAAATATCACTAAAAAATGGTAATAATACCTCAAATCGTGTGTGAAGGACTTTTACCAATATATAGTTCCTTATTTTTTTCTTTTTCTTTGGATTTTTTTGTGAGTTCAAGAATGAAAACACCAATTGATATGGTATCGTATCGAGATAGGGAAGGATCTCGAGCACCTTCGAGCTCCAAGAATAAAAGAGGTGAGAAAGAGAGAGATTAAGGTTTAAGAAAAAATATTTTCTTTATTCATTGATTAGTAATTTACTGAAATGGTTACATTTATAGTTAGGACATCTAAAGAATCTTTACCATAGAAGAAAACTAAATAATCTAGGAATCCTAACTATAAATGGTAACAAATATCTTAACAATATAGTAATACTTTCTAATAATAATATAATTAATTAACCATAAATAATGATACTAGCTTATATAATAATAATAATAACCATCAATAATATTATTAACCTGCCATTAAAGTCTAATTTACATGGGAACCAAATCATCCTTTTTACTTGATTGTTTTGTTCTTCATTGCTTTCCTTTCCACATCTTGTCAAACACACTGTAAAATACAGAGAGTCATTGATAAAAGCGACCACATAATGATAGCCCCATGGTTTACTTTACTTGGGCTAAGAAATAATAACAACAGAATTATGAGTGCATTATTATTATTATTATTATTATTGTTGTTGAAATCATGCTCCAATGCCCCATTTGACTTTTTCCTCTCTCTCTCTCAGCGTGGTGGTAAAAATGTACAGTACCAGTAAAGTTCGGTAATTCGGCAGTGCGTTGTATAAAGTGGTAAAATCTTTTCACGCCATACTCCCAACTTTCAGATCAAAAAAAAAACTTTGTACTTTCCACATCCTCCGTATATAGTCCATAAAATTCGTAATGATTTGAGACTTTGAGTTTTTCGTCAAAGTCATATATATACTCCGTAAAAAACAAATATTTTAAAAGTTTAATAATTTAAAGTTATATTTTAAAATTAAGTCAATTTTATAAAATTTAAATTAGTTGAATAATAATTCATGAATAATGACCAATGATCCTAAATTGGAAAATAAAAACATATGGTCATATTTTGAGAAAATCATTATGTTTTAATCATATTTAGGTAAATTATCTAATATTAGTTTTAAATATACAATAAAAACGCAATTGTCTATATAAATGGTTTCGTTCTCAAAACAATCATTCTGTATTTCAATTTTGATGTAATTAGTAAAGTTAACTAAAGACAGCTAATCATGGATTAAACGTGTTCTTGTCTAGCAAGCAATCAACCAATTCATCAACAAAAGCATTCTTCTTTAATTTATTGGATGATAATTATGCTGGATGTAATTATTTAAATATTATTGTAAAATTTTTAAAAAGAAATATTGAAAACTACACAAAGGTTTGTAAATTAACAAATTATTCCGTATTAGAGAATAATAAAAATTACTACGTATTGTTAACTAGCTCCGTCCCAATGTATTTGTCCATTTTTACTTTTTCGGATTGGACGAACTTTGAATTTTAAATACTCTCAATTTGTATAGCATATAATAAAATGAAATAAAGTTCGAAATGTTCTCAGCAAAATAATCTAATAAAATTAATTTTATACTAATATACATTGTTATAATTTTATCTAATTTTACTCAAAAAAAGTCAAATTAAACAAATATACTGGGATCGGTGGCGGATCCAGGAATTCAAATATATGAGATGACAAAAAATATTAGATTTTATTTCAACTATTTATTGAATGTTAAACATTTCTTAATAGGTAATGTAAAATTTTATTTCATAAACAATTAATTATGTGTAATAAAATACACTTTACTAAAAAATCAATAAAAAAATACTCCATCCGTCCTTAAATAAACTTCCCCTTTCGTTTTTTCTTTGTCCCCAAATAAACTTCTTTTTTTTCTTAAAAAACTCCTTTTACCCTTTACTTTTTCATACCCTACATATCACATCATACCTTTTTATAAATAATCTACATATCACATCTTACTTTTACACATCACATCAAGGGTATTTTTGGAAAATCAACACAAAAATATCCCTTCCTTAAATTCTCAAAAAGTCAAAAAGGGAAGTTTATTTAGGGACGGAGGGAGTATAATTTAGCTTGATTAAATGGGATCACATTAATTTTTGTTGGGGGCATATGTACTTTAAAAAAATTTAAAAAAAACTTTTACCTTATAACAAAAATTAGTAGGGGGCATATGCCCCCAACTCCAATAAGGTGCGTCCGCCACTGACTGGGATGGAAAGAGTATAACCCTCTCAATGATACGTAGTAAGTGTGACTAGTATTATTAGGCGAAAATAGAGTCCTCCGTAATAGTTAACGGAAACTTTTAAGTATACTTCATTCTGTTTTTTAACAGACAAAATAATGTAGACCTTTTTTTGTATATTTTTAATTTTTTTTTTCTATTTTAGTCTTTTCTCTTTATTTTAGAGCAACTAACTACACAATTCTAGGGGAGAACCAAAAGGTGAAAAAAAATTAAGTACTCTCAAAAAAGAAAAGATGGGGAAAAATGTACAAAGAGAACGAAAAAAAAGGGTTGGCGCCTTGGCGGGATTTAATCAAAACCATTGAGCATACTAAAGGGCGCCCCAACCACCGTTATAAACATACCATTATACTCCGTATTACTTCACCCATCTCGGAATATTTATCTATTTTGTTTTTCTGAAAAAATTGATAAATTTTGACATCAAATTAAATAAAAAAGATATTAGATATTGATACAAAATAATTTAATTATATTTATTATATAAAATATTTTCAAAATATTATTTTATCTAAATAATATACAATATATATTTTATTTAATTATACGTCAAATGTTGAAAATAATTGACCGGAAAAAGCCAAAAGTCCAAAACTCGAAAATACTCACGGATGGAGGTAGTATTTATATATGAAGATATTATTTTTTATTTTTTAATATTATTATGCCTAATATATAGGTAATATAAACAGTGCTCCCTTCGATTTTTTAAATCATTCATACATTCATTTTTTACCAAAATAAAGAGTGTCTATTTGTGGTTGACTTTCTAATTTTACCTTTAATGTAATGAGTAAAAGTAAGATGTAATGAATAGATTATTTATAAAAAAAAGTGTAATGTGATAAATAGGGTAAGAAAAAATAAGAATAAAAGTGATTTTATAATCAAAAACTGAAAGTGTTTTAGGAAAAAGAGAAAAAAAGAAAGAGGAGATGTTTAAAAAAAACAGATGAAGTACACAAATTTCACTAGATAGTTCGTTTATTTAAAAGAAAAAAATGAGAGAATTAATGAGAATTTGATTTTAGTTCTTTGAATTGGTTGGAAGGAAATTGAGAACAAAAGAAGTCATTATTAGTCATTATTAATATAAAATTATAATTGTACCCTTTCAAAAGTAATACTCCTTAGTCCTTACCAATTTAATTTTCTTGTTGGTAAGGGGAAAATTAGGGGAGAAAAAGTAATTATTGAAATAAAATTATGCAGAGTAATTACTCTTATAGATTGAAAAAATGTAGATAGATGAACACATAGTGGATTGTACTAAAATCAGTAATACTAAAAACAATTTTAACACATAAAAGATTTGTGCAAAAAATAATTATTTGAATTGAAGTACTCCGCACTACTCACATATCAGTGTATTTTTCGAGTTTGAGTGTTTGCAATGATATTATACGAATTTTGATTACCAATTAAATAACAATTACCTTTCCTATGAGTAAAAAAATAATTTAATTATATTTATCTTATAAAATAATTTCAGAAACATAAGTTTGTTTTATTAATATAAAATTTACTTAATTGATGATCAAGTTTATCTGTAAAAAGTAAACATGACAATAAACATGACAAAATACTAAATAAACTAAATAAATATTTAGTTTTATTCAAAAATACTTAAATCTATTTTAGAATTTTAACTAATGTTTGGGTTCTGAAATGAAAGATGTCAAAATGAACTTCCAAAGAATGAAACAGGTAGAGCTCCAAAACTAATTTACCTCTTACAAAAAAAACGCTTAACTTATTTACCTCTCACAAAAATAAAAAGGAAAAAAAACTCACACCGTTCATGAAACAAACACGCCCTAAAAGCACCATGTAATTACAAAGCCGAGAAGAACGAGGTTTGTGTAACCTTAAAAGCTCCGTCTCCGTTCCGTTCCGTTTCGGTTGAATTAACGTTACTCTCCTCGAAACTCTCATCGTTTGAAACAAAACGTGTAACGCCTTTGGACTACCCTACCCCAGCTGGAGACCTAACCGTACGTTACTTTTCAAATAATCCCAATATTAACTCAAGTTTAGCTTAATTACCCTGGTCAAGAAAATGTTTACAAAACAAAAAAAATTGGTAAATGAACTACACTAGAGAGAATCTACTTTATTTTATTAGGGTATAAAACTTCTTTTTATTAGACTATAAGTGTTAGTCTATCACCTTAGATCAACGTCACTCTGTTTGAAAAAAATTAATGTTTGCGTACAAGATTCGTGCAAAAAGCAAGTTGAATATGATCTGCACATGAAAGAACGTGTTAGAGTGTAAATTCTTTTGTTGGCCTATAACCATGCGTAAACTCGAGCTAGTTTTATTGTTTTAATGTTATTTATTGGCCTATAACCATGCATAAATATAATCTTTTACTGGCCTATAAATTGACATTTTATATTATTCTTATTACTATAATGTTTATTACAGTATTAAAAAATAATAATTAATAACAGACTTTATTTCATTATAACGCAAATGTCTATTGCTTCTAATTCCTCGGGGACGGTCATGTACTTAATTGACACAAT